CTGAGGAAGTGTGTCCTGCTCTCGCTGGTGCTGGGCCAGGCACTGGAAAGTCCTTAAGGGATGGTAGGCAATGGGAGGGAACAGCCAAGCAAAGAGTTACCAACAAGAGCAACTAGGTGGAGAAAAACGTTTGCTTGGAGCCTATTATGAGCTCCAAGCCAGGTATCATGGGTGCAGTGGCAAACAAACCCCTGTCCTCATCACACCTACATTCGTGTGTGTGTGTGTGTGATATGTATGGGTAGGTGGTATCAGTCACATAATCACACACATCGTATCAATACACCATTGTGGGGAGTTAGGAACGAGAGGGATGTACTGTAGGAGGCAAGGCACGGAACCTGGAGCCACCACCATCTCTGCTTCCTCAGGTGTGGAATGGGGGAATTGTAATCCCAGCTGTATGGTGGGCTGTGAGGATTCATGCATTCATGTGTATGAGGGGCTCACAAGGGTGTCAGGGGCAGAGCAGTCAATACTAGTTACTATGATCATGAATACAACTCTGTTGGTCAGCGTCCACTCTAGGCCAGGTGCTCAGAGAAGCACAGGGTAGCTGACACTGCTGTGGTATTCCCCTAGCTTCCAATGCTTTGCTCCTATTGGCTGGCACCTGCTGAGGCCTCACAAACCTGCTGTGGCTATTTTGCATGGACAGGCTGAGAGTTAGTACCTGGGAGTTCACATCCCCGCGATGCAGCCTGGGTACCTTGCCACCAGGAGAGCAAATGGGTCTGTCGCTGTAAGCTCCCAGCTCCCAGGATCAGGCTGAGGCTGCTCCCCCCTGACTCCACTCGATGCCAAACAGCACCCTCCTTTGGCTCCTTCCCTGTCCCTCACAGGTGTCCCTGGGAATCACTTCTCTAATGAACCCTGGTCCCAGATCAGCTTGTGCAGACCTTGGTCATCAAGGAAGGCTTCCTGCAGGAAACTCGAGGGGGGCAGAGAGGGAGAAGGGAAAGAGACCGAGGAAGATGCCAGGATGAAGGACAGCAGGTGCCAACACTCAGGGGCAGATAACCTTTAAGAGATAGAAGGAGCTGGCAGGAGCCGGTGGGAATCGGGGCATCCAGGGTGAGTGTTGTGGGGCTCGTGGGTCAGGGGGCCATCCTTCACAGGACACCCAAGTCCAGCTGAAGAAACGGGCTTTCACAAGGTACTGGGAAGCCACGAAAGCAGGAATGAGACACTATGAGGTTTGGGTTTTGAAAAGACCAACATGGCAGGTGGACAAGGACAGACTGGAGGGAGGCAAGATGGAAATGAGCTGGGCATTTCTGCTGTGGTCTCGGTGGTGGGGGAAGAAGCAACAGACTGGGAAAAGGTTTAAGCGGAAAAAAAAAAAATTCCTTTGCCATTCAAATCATCATTTTGTTATTGAAGTCTAGATTTTCGTAAAGGTAGATCTTGTGATATACAGCTCATGAAATGGCCACATGAGAATTTTTCTAAATTTGAATATTAAAATTTCTTTGTAACAAGTGCAATGAAGAGGAAACATTTATCAAGTTTTAAAACCTTTATTCTTACTTTCAGAGAATTCTAAAAAGATACACAGATGAAATCTGACAACAAATGGATTTAAAATTCTAAAAATAATTCCATAGCAGGAAAAAAGCTTCTACTTACTTTAGCAAAATATGTATATATTTATTCAAATATAAAGATATAAATGTATACTTCTGAAATATTCTAAAAATATAACCTAAAAAGGAAAATCTTTATCAAATATACAGAAATATATAGTACACCTTTGGGGAAAGTGGTAGTAAAAATATGTGTAAATAAACCATATGTAAACAAGTTTTAAGAAAACTTTTATAGGTATTGCAGAAATCTCTATGCATTTTCGATTTATGAAATTATACTGTCCCAAGAAGTTCAAGTCACAAAAGATGGGTTATACAGGGTGGACAAAAGTAGGTTTACAGTTTTGAGTATGCAAAAGAGTTTATTCTTGTATTATTATTTATTAACTAGAGGCCTGGTGCACAAAATTCGTGCGTGGGAAGGGGGGTCCCTCAGCCCAGCCTATACCCTCTCCAACCTGGGACCCCTTGGGATGTCTGATTGTCAGGCCTAAACTGGCAGTAGGACTTTCCTCTCACAATCTGGGACCACTGGCTCCTAACTGCTCGCCTGCCTGCCTGCCTGCCTACCTAATCGCCCCTAACTGCCTCTGCCTGCCAACCTGATTGCCCCCTAACTGCTCCACTGCTGGCCTGATAGCCCCTAACTGCCCTCCCCTGCCAGCCTGATTGCCCTCTACAAAGTTCTCTTCCCTACTGGCCTAATCACTCCTAATCACCTCTGCCTTGCCCCTGCCCCAGTGGCTTTGTCTGGAAAGACATCTGGAAGATATCTGGTCTAATTAGCATATTAGTGTACCCTTTTATTCGTATAGATTATTTGAGCAACTGTAAACCTACTTTTGCACTGTCCCATATAGTTAATCTATAATGTATGTACACTTTGCTACTGTCCCATTCTATAGATGGGGACATTAAAGCATGGTAAGTCACTAAATGTTTTTGAACTGTGGCTGAACAATAATATTGCCCCAGACCACAGATCATAAATGAAATACCATACATTTTTTTAAAAATGACACAAGCAAATTTCCATTAAAATATACCCATCCACATACAATTTAAAACTGTTCCTCCAGCTCCTGAGTGTCATAGAGAAGATACATGCACTAAATAAAAAATTTTTTAAAAAAACGTAATGATGCCACAGTAAGCCATTAAGGTCTTCTCAGAGAGGAGATTCTGACTTCATCAAAGCACTTCTTAAAATAAAGGTGTCCTCTCATTCCCTGATGATGTTCCTATTTTAAAGTGCAAAAATTTTTCCCCCAAAATAATACATTAGCAGAGTTACAATAAATGGACTGTCCATATTATCCCAAGCCCCAGAAAATGGAGCTACGCTAGGTGTTGTGATTCTGTAAACTTATTTGGAAGCAGTAAAGATTCAAGTGGAAAGCTGGGTGGGGCAGGGACAGAAACGTCTGACTGGTACCCAACTAACTGACATGGAAAATGCAGGAGGAAGCAAGTTAAGTCAGGGCAACTTAAGTCAGGATGGTGCTGACATTGGTCACGTGTACGCTGCACTCTACCCTGTGGAGTGCCGGTATTACAGCTCTCACTCCGCCCCTCTGAGTCCGCTGTCTTCACTGCCACCACGGACAGTGCAGCTTCGGGAGCAGCCACACAGAAGAAAGAAATAAACACAGCATCAAAGGTCCCGTGTGCTGTCTCACGCTCCGGCTGGTGTAGTCCGCTGCTGAGTCTTGCGGCAGCCACAGCACCATCCCTGCGGGAGAATAACAATTGTTGTTCCAGGTTGTAGTTTAAAAAAAAAAATCTGTATTTTTTACAGAGTTAAATAAAGTATATCCCAATGATACATCAAAGAAGTGTAATTTAATGAGGAATTATCTGCAAAAAAAAATAAATGCTTAAACCAGAAATTATCTAGGTCTCTTGCCAAAAGTGTGGTTCGTCACCATAAATATGCATACTGTCCTTGCTGAAACCTCTGAGTTTCAAAATTCAGCTAGAATTCCTTCATTATTCTACTTGATTTGGTGCTGTTGATGTGCTCAGCGTCGAATACATTGCATCATGGGACCAGACTCCTGGGGAGGGATTCAGTAAGGCCTTCATTCAGAAATTCCACCTGCAACTGCATGTTTCCTTAAATAACCACCAATCAGGGAATGCCCCTCAACTCAGTTAGCAAATAGCAACTCATTCTAGGCCAAATTTTAGGAGATTCTGTTGAAAACGTAGATGGTTGACATTAAGTTTGAACATTAACATGGAATTCTATCAGCTTATATGTTGGAAATGTTATATCTCCACAGAAGATGATATTAGAGATTTCTCGGGCTTTTTCCCCACTTGAATAATTAACAGTGAATACAGGGAAAGTATTACTTTGTGTTTAATACAGGCTGGCCCATACATAACACAAATATGTCCATGGTCTGTAAAGCAAGGCCCTGTGGTCAAATAGTGCCCACCATCTGACTGATAAAGTTTTATTAGAATGTAGTCTTGTGAGGCAGAATAATGGCCCTCAAAAAAGCCTGTGCCCTAGTTCCCGAACCTGTGAGTATATCTCTTTACATGGCAATATATTACTTCACGTGAATACATTACTTTGCACGTCTTTGCAGATGTGATTAAGGTTACGAACACTGAGATGGGAGATTATACTATAAGACAGCCTGTCAGAGAGATAGGACAGAAGGAGGGGGGAGAGTTTTAAGTCTGCAGAGGGACTCAGTTCACTCTGGGTAGCTGCGGAGAGAGAGGAAGAGCTCATAAACCAGAAATGCAGGTGACTCTAGAAGCTTGGGACAGCTCTCAGGTGACAGCAAGGAAATGGGGAACCTCAGTCCTTCAACCACAAGAAACCATATTCCGCCAACAACCCAAATGAGCAAGTGGAGAGTTATTCCCTGAGAGACTCCAGAAAGAGCAGCAGCCCTGTCAACACCCAGGTTTTTAGCCTGGTTAGAGCTGTATCGGACTTCTGACCCAAGGAACTGTAACACAATACATTTCTGTTATTTGACAAATTGCCTGAGGCTGTTTTCAAGCTACAAGGCAGAGTTAAACGGATGAGTGAGACCTGATGATGGCTGGGAAAACCTAACATTTGCACAGTGGCCCTTTACAGAAAAAGCGTGTCCGCCCATGATATTTACATGCAATAACTGGGCCAGCAGCACACATGTATGGAACACTTAGTTGATTCCAGAATCTGAGCTAAGCATTTATTATCCATAGCAAGCATCTGATAAATACTACTTTGGTCCCCATGTTACAAATGAAAAATTAAAACAAGGAGGTAGATGGGTTAAGTAACTACTCAAGGTCCTCCCGGGAGTTGATGGGGAGCAGGAATTCAAGCCCGGGGTTGGCTGACTTGTGGGCTCAGCTCACCCCGTCACGCCCAGCCTCCCAGACGCTCACCGAGGCCTCTTATCGCTGGCAGAAGGCGATGGGGAGCTCCCGGCTGGGCACCAGGATGCCCAAGTGCAGCACTTCCACGGGCTCGTGGTCCGTGGCCACGATGTCGTATTTGCGGACGATCTGGAACACAGGTGCACAGAGAGGGGAATGAGCCCTGGCCCCACCCTGCGGGGCAGCACAGGACACAGGCGGGCAGCAGGGGGGCTCACCCAGCAGAGGGCCAGGTGCAGCTGGAGCTCAGCCAGCCGGCGCCCCACACACATTCTCTTCCCAACGCCAAACGGGAGGTGGGCGAATGGGTTGATCTTCTTCTTCTCTTGAAGCCACCGTTCCGGCCTAAACTGACTGGCGTCTTCAAAATTTTCTTCGTCGGACCCCAACACCCGGGTATTTAGCATCAACACCGTCTACAAACACACGGAAACACGTGCAATAAAATAAGCAGAAGAAGGTGGTTGAAAAGCGAAACTTAACACAAACGGTCACCTTATAGATATAAAGTCACCCACAAGTTTATAATAATGATGATTGCCAACATGTATGGAAGACTTGAAATGTGCCAGGCACTAAATAGGTAAATAACTTTAATACTCTGTATCACATTCTCACTACAAACCGAAGCATAGGTTTTATTATTATCCCCATTTTACAGATGAGAAAGATGAGGCCCCCAGGTCTATACTTGAACCTAGGTCTGTCCCCATGGCCATTACTCCTAATCCTATACAATGCAACACAGGTCAACCATGCACTACAATCTATTTATTTGCAAAATGAATGTTTTCTCTGTTAATATTTTTAGGGGGACCAGATGCATATTTCCAAGCTTTGTAAGGTACAAAAATAAACAAATTCTACTCACTCCTTTGGGTAAAGCATATTCACCCAGAACAGTCTCCTTGTCAAGAGTCCTGGTTGTAAACGGCACACTGGGGGTGAGCCTGGGAAAGCAAAACCCGAGATGTACGGCAGGCACAGACCAAGTGCTAGCGCAAGTGCTGATGGGAAGGCATTCTGCTTAAGTAAAGGATTGTCGCATTAAGTTCCTACGCCAAAAGGGGAACTGGTACCGGTTCTTCACAAAGAGGTTCTGTCTCTTGTTTTATTGGGTTGGCACCCACCCTCCACCACCCAACAAGCCTGCTTGGTAGCTGTTCGGAGTGGCTTCCCCTGCTTTAGCTTAAACTTCAAATGTCTTCCCTCTGAATCTTGATGTTTGTTCTAGGTCAGTGGTCGGCAAACCACAGCTCGTGAGCCACATGTGGCTCTTTGGCCCCTTGAGTGTTTTGACGCCACTTCTTCAAAATAGATTCACCCCAGCTGAAAACCGACTTCTGTGCATGGGCCACGAAGTTTCAATCACACTGTACATGCGCGCCTGCCCACACGTGGTATTTTGTGGGAGAGCCACACTCAAGAGCAGCATGTGGCTCGCAAGCCGCAGTTTGCCGACCACTGTTCTAGGTTTCTCCTATTCACTATTCATATAGTTAAAGATATTTCCTTTTAATCCTAAAATGGAATGAGTTTTGTTTCCCAGAAAGAATGTAAAAAGAATTTTCAAAGACATTTTTTATTATTTATTTACATATTTACTTACTAGAAGCCCAGCGTGCAAAATCGCTCGGCCCTGCCCACCCGTGTCGGACTTTGGTCATTATGGTGTTAGGGCCACTGGGTTTTTATAATATAGATTTATGTATTTTTGTTACTTCTCACCTGAGGATATTTTTTCACTGATTTTTAGAGAGTGTAAAGGAAGGGGGGGTGGTGAGAGAAAGAGAGAGAGAGAAACATGGATGTGAGAGAGACACATTAATTGGTTGCCTCCCACACTGGCTCTGAACCTGCAACTCAAGTATATGCCCTTGATCAGGAATCAATCCCTCAATGCCTTGGTGTGTTGGCCGATGCTCTCACTGAGAACACTGACCAGGGCTTTGAGGACATTTTATACCAGAGGCTCAGTAATAAAGATGTCTCTATGTCTTATCATATAATAACATGGTTCCCTCACTGGCTTTCATGTCAGACCCTCCAGGCCAGCCCAGAACTCTGATTAGTGCTCACCACACCCATGAGAGGATGATTCTTGCCCACTTAAAGGGCCCACATCACTGACTTTCCAAGATGTCACAGAATTCGCTCAAATGACTCAGGGAATGAGTGATAGAAATGGAATGTGTTCCTGGGGTTCTTTTTTTCCAGTTTGAGAAAAGTTTCAGAATCAACTGTGGGATCTGTATTTGGGGGGGGGGGGGTGTTTAAGGGATGACCCCTTACTGTGTATTTAAGAGAACAGCGCCCTCCCATATATATAGCTCAGGTGTGTGCACTTACCGCATGGACTCTTTCAGACAGGCCTTTAGATACGGCATATTCCTCACATCCTCTGCCCGCGGCACCCAATCCTCAGGCAGGATGCTCTGAATTTCCTCCAGCAGCTTTTCTTGCACGCGGCGATTACGGGATAAATTGTAGAGGACCCACAGCAAGCTGTTTGCTGTCTGAAAAACCAACAGGCACAAACGTGAGTTTCTTCAAACTGCCATGTCTGAGCTGGACGCAGGGCAATGCAAAGGTAAACAACCAATAGGCCAGCAATACTTTCTCCATTCCCTCGTTGGCTGTGCCCTAAATGAACACAAGCATGGAGAGTCAAACCGACCTTATATAATGTACCAGTGAAGGCCAGTTTGTGTATTGAGGGAAGGAAATAGAATCCCATCAATAACGGCCCCATCAGGACACTTAGAATGTTGTGTGGCACACAGATGGCTGGGGCACAAAGAAACACATGCAGAACCCAGTGGAGGGGACGCCAGGTGGGTGGACGGGCTCAATGCCAAGGTCAGGGTGTGATAATGATTACTATCATGCCAGGTGCTTACCAATGGGGTCAGTACTGCATGTGAGTCTATAATTATCTCAAAAGAGCTTAATTAGAGAATTATTAATATAAACTTGACATAAAATTGAGTGGGGAATGAGCAACAAGAGATCCCAGAGTGTTGCTATAAGAGATTTTTTTTTTTTTTTACAGAGAAAACATACAAGAAACCGTATTTCTGGAATTTAAAAGAAAGGTGTTGTGTGTGTGTGTGTGTGTGTGTGTGTGTGTGTGTGTTGTTGTTGTTGTTGTTGTTGTTTTGGCACACCCTAAAATTTTACCACAAAAATATAAAGATATTATCTACTCTTGGGGTTCTAGCCACACACAAAGGGCCCTCGTGGGATGGCGCCAACACCCAAACAAGAAACTGTGGCACCAAGCCGAGTAGTTCACGGTGCCAGAGTCTGACACAGGCTCCTGCCTTGCAAGTGGCACCTGGATTTCCTTTTGGCGGAAACAGCCAAGTGCAGCTTTTAGCGTCGTAATATCCACCACTGTTAGCCACAAGCATTTGTTCCGGAGGGCTTTTTTTTTTTTTTTTTTTTTTTTTTTTTTAGCCAACTTAAGCCAAACAGTCCCTTACAAGTGCTCATCGTGTCCTCGCTCTGTAGACACGAAGACGCTTTCCCTCGGCACATGCGCCAGTCACATGAACGAGCAAAGCACAAGGCGGCTCGGAGCCCTGGCGTGTATTATTTTTGGAAGAAGATGTCCCCCAGGCAAGCTTCTTTGTGTCAGAGGGCTGGCAGCCTCAGCTCCCACCGACGTGGATTGATGACATTAGTACCAGAGAGTAATTTTCAGACAGGAAGCGGGCGGAGCTGCCAAATTAGATAGATGTCAGATTTCCCCCATTTGCCAAGGGAGACTTTCAGAATAGCCAGGGCTAAAAAAGAAACAGATTGAGCCCTATCAATGGGTCCCTCACCACAAGCACCAAACAGAGTTTCCAAAAGGAAGATAACTGTAGCTTTCACCAAAGCCCGGAGGCAGCCCTGCCTGCTGGGGCAGCTGGGGGCGAAGTGGCGGGGAAGTGGCCTGCAGAACCTCCTGGCACCAACTGTCCTGGCCTGACCTTCGTCACGGCGTCCGTCTCATCGCTGGCTTCCTGTTTGCACTCTCTCTCCACTGGGTCCACTCTCTACCCCCCAGCCAGAGCCCACTTTACAAAGCATAAATTTGATCGAGACACTCCTTGCTTAAAGAACTCAAAAAGCTTTCTCTCACAGGTGCAATAAAATCCAAATGTCGTAAGAAGGCTCCTGGTTAACATGGCCCATGGATTTCTCCAAACTCAACTCTGAGCACATTTGCTAGTTCACCAGCTCCATCTCTCTTTCTGCCCCAGGTCCTTTGCACAAACTATTTCCTCTACTTGGAGAGCTCTTCGACCACATCTTCCCATGATTGGCTCCTCAACATGCCGGTGTCAGCTCCAGAGCAGGAGCCCTCCGCCATCTCTCTTACATGACCCCGATGGCTCCCTCCACACCCATACCCCTCCACATCTGAAGTAATCACATGTAATTGTTTGTTTAAATGTCTATCGTCTGTTCCCCACTGCTGTTTAAGTTCCATGAGGAAAACTCGTTCATGGTGACATGTCAAGAATCTAGAATAGTGCCTAGCACATAGTAGGAACTCGTAGTTCCTGAACTCTTTCATTAATTGAACAAACATTTATTGAGCACCTACTATATGCCAACTATTCTACATCCTATGAATACAGCTGGGGACCAAACCATGCCATCACCATCATAAAGCTCACATTCCAGTTGAACAGAGAAATGGGTGCAGCTTTAGTTTGAATCGCTCTAAGGAGTCATGATCCCACAGGAAAGTGAGTTGAAATGGATTCCCACTTTTGATAGCCTTCTGGGTCATGAGGTGACACCAGAACCTATATATATATATATATATATATATATATATATATATATATATATACAGAATATATATATATATATATATATATTGATTTTTAACAGAGAGAAAGGGAGAGAGATAGAGAGCTAGAAACGTCGATGAGAGAGAAAAGTCAACCAACTGCCTCTTGCACACCCCCTACGGGGGATGTGCCCGCAATCAAGGTACATGCCCTTGACTGGAATTGAACCTGGGACCTTTCAGTCCACAGACCGATGCTCTACCACTGACCAAACCGGCTTCCGCGACATCAGAACCTTTCTATCTCCTGATGTAGAAAATGCCATTTTTTTCTTCAGATAAGAAACACTGTGGAAAGGAGAAAAGCAAGAAAAAGAAGTGAACTTGTATAGAATCTTCGTAGGGACTCTTTGTGCAGGAAATGTTAGGCCTCTGAGGGATATTAATATACATGACTCCATCGAGAGCTCAACAACCAATCAAAGCCAGTTAAACCCACCTGAACACTTGTCAGCATCTGTGTTTGGAGCCTGACTGACTGAGTACCTACTGGGAGTGTCCAATGCCTATGGCAGGGATGGAATCTTGGTATTTAAAAGCTGTTTCAGTTAAACTAAAATCAATGTTTCCCAAACTCGCCATGTTTCCAATGTTAAACATAAAGAAAAAATTGAACTGGCAGAGAGTATTTCAAAAATTTTATAAGTTACAGCCAGAGTTAGTTAGCATACACGACCACCTAAGGTAGGTCCAAGTTTTGAAAATCTAACATTTCAATTGGTGTGGTGTGGATTTTACTGCTTCTGCATTCCAGAGACAGTTGGCATGTTTATCCCAGCACTATGCCCTGCTCTGGTGTGCTGTCGCTAGGACAGAGTCATTGACAGAGTTTTCCTCCTAAGGTGTGAGGAGAAAGCCTAACCCTAATCCTAACCCTAACTCTAACCCAAACCCTAACCCTAACCCTAACTCTAACCATAACCCTAACCCTAACCCTAACCCTAACCCTAACCCTAACCCTAACCCTAACCCTAAGGTCTCCCACGGCACCTGCTGAGGGAGTTCTTAACTTTGCTCAGCTGGAACTCAGTTAATCCTCGGGAAATGAATGAACTGAATGACTATTTAAAACCCATCACAATGAAAGGTGTCCCAGACTATTTAGCAAAGAGCCACCACCCTCACCGTCTCCACGGCCGCCAGCTGGAGCTCCGTGACGGCGGCGTACAGCTCTTTCTTGGAGAGCTGGTTGCGGTGGTAAATGTCACAGAGGAAGTCCGCGCCGGGCTGCTCCGCATGCTTCTCCAGCCGGCGGTCAATGGAAGATTTGACTGTTGGTGAAAAGGAAGAGGAAGCCCGCTGAACATTAGGGTGAGGAAAAGGATGGGAGGTAACCTAAGATGAAAGTCTTGCAACATCCAAAAGGGCTTTTGGGGGACATTGTTAGGCGAGCCCTACTGCCTCATTGAGTCATCAAAGGTGGGTGGATGCTCACGTGACTAGGGCTTCTCAAAGTGCACCACAGTCACCTGGGCATCTTCCTTCAATGCAGACTCGGAACCGAGCGGCCAGGTGGGCCTGGACGTCTGCATTTCTAACAAGCTCCCAGGTGATGCTGTTGCTGCTGATCTGTGGTCACATCTTGACCAGCAAGCACTTAGAGCAGGGAGGAGACCATTATGACACAGGTGGGAGCTGGGTCCACACTCAGAATCAGACCCAAGTGTCTAGCTGATATGGTCACGGATACAGGCAGACATGCTAATATAGGGTGTGGCTCCCAAATCTTGGCTATAAAGGAGGGAAGAACACCCTCTCCTAGTGTTATCTTTCTCTCTCTCTCTTTCTCTCTCTCTCTCTCTCTCCTTCTCTCTCCCTCATTACACACACCCCCACACCCCCATGTGCAGTGCCATGAATGTTAAATATAATACTAACATTTTCTAAGGTTTGTGAATTACATTCTAGGCTGCCCTCCTTCACTTCAGTCCCTGACAGGAGCCACCACCAGAGAAATAGTAGTGGTGATGGTGACAATGACAATGACGACACTAGTGGTATAGGAGCTTGAGTCTGAGCTGTAGGAACCTTTCTGATTGGCTTCTAGCCCTGGCTTTGCCATCACTGGGTATGTGATGTTGAGAACGTTACTTCTTGGTGCCTCAATTCTGTTACCTGGGGCTAAAGGAAGGATCTAACATAAGTATTTAGTGGGAATTAAGTATGTTTAGTAAATATATATAATATAATATAATATAATATAATATAATATAATATAATATAATATAATATAATATAATATCTTAGGATAACCCCTAGCATCAAATATTCCCTCCATAATGTAGCAGAAATGGCTCTGATGCATTGAGATACTGTCATAATGCCAGGCTTTCACATGATCTATATTAGACCTATCAATAGAAGTAATTACATTGAGGGGAGCACTCTTATTGTTGTTGTTGCTGCTGCTGCTGTTGAGAGCCCATTTTAGAGGTAAGACAGCTGATGATGAAAAGGAGGCAGCACGCTGTGCCACCCGCCACCCCAGTGACAGACCAGGAGCTTGAACCCAGGTAACTCTGACTCCAAAGCTCTCGCTTTTACCACTCACTTCTTGTTCCCCAAGACAACACAACGCCACCTCCTGCCTTTTCCTTAGAATTTGTCTACACTAGAGTGATCCCCACACTTGTGTTTGCACAGCCCGAAAGAACCAGGAGGAGCAACTCCATCGGAGGATCTAGGTCGGCAGGTCATTGCAGACCTTAGCGGCAGCTCAGGAGACAGGGACTGGGTGTGGCTGTTACCTGACTTGAAAATCGTGTCCCAGGCCAGCGTGTGGGCCTGCCAGATCTTGGTGTTGAGGGTCTTGTGCAGCTCCACCGGGGTGACCATCAGCCTCCCAAATGTGCTCATCATCTATGAGGAACACAAGTGCTTTTCATCCCTCTTTCCCTCCAGGACGACGTTCTCTCTGGTCCCGGAGCATCTGCACACGGTACCCTGTGCTCCCCAAAGGCCAGAGTTCAAAGAACACCCCCAGGCCTCTGCTCCCCCAGTAACATAGTCAAAATCATCTTTGGGATGATGGATTTTTCAATAAATTTAAATAACAACTTGGTCTTACAACCTACATGTCAAGAAAGAAGGAGCCCTGTTGGCGTGGCTCAGTGGTTGAGCATCGACTTATGAACCAGGAGGTCATTGTCCAATTCCCAGTCAGGTACATGCCCAGGTTGCAGGCTCCATCCCCAGTGTGGAGAGCTCAGGAGGCAAGCTGATTCATGATTCCCTATCATCATTGATGTTTCTCTCTCCCTCTCCCTCTCTGAAATCAATGCAAATATATTTTAAAAATAAGGGGGGAAAGGGAAACTATAACTTATATTCACTTGAATTTCTGAACTGCAGTCATTCCCATGCCAGTTTCACAGTATTTATTACATACACACACAACCCAAATGATTCAAAAATTTTAAATCTGAACATTTTCAGGCTTTTGAAAACAGTAATTTAATCAACTGATCTTTAATTGACCCACCTACTTTAACTTTGCCTAATGGTCTAATGTACATCTTCATTATATGTGCCTAGGTGCACATCCATGCACGGAAATACATCGCACACACTGAAATAAACTATTGTAATAAGATCTGTGTGCATGCCCCTCTTGGGCGATGCCTGAATGATCTGTTGGGAGCCCAGCGCTCTTCCCTGTGGATACTCACTGTTTTGATGGCCATGATGAAGTTCAAGGCTTCATCCCCGGCGTTCTTCTGGAGGAGCCCAAATCTCTTCTCATAGAGCACAAGGCAGATGCCTGTTAATAAGATAATGGACACTGTTACCCAACCTGGACTCCTGACTACCTGGCTACTGAGGGCTCAATTCCATCTCAGAAATATGAAGTCATTTCTAAGGACACATGAGAAGCGAAGGATCTGAGCGTCTGATCACCCTTCTAGAAATTACCTGCAGGCCCAATGACCCATGGCTTGTAGAACCTCCTGATCAGAAATATCACTGTGCCAGCGTAGCCATTTCCATACAGGAGTGAATCTCTCCTGTATGTCTCGCTTTTGTCAGAGTTTATCACTGACATCACACGCAGTAGGCATTGTGAATGGCCTACCCAGTACTCGTTCTCCCTCATTTCTCCCCTCAGACACCCCAAACTTATTTAGGGTGTCAGAATCAACATGGGTCAACATGGGTCTAAGACGCTGACAAGCCTGCTCCCTGATTCTCCTGCTTCCTGGATCCACCAAAGCAGCCAAATGAGCCATGTCTGGTCAGTGAGACCAGAAGGAAATCCTCCCTGGCTTTCTAGCTAGAGCAGGAGCTGTACCCCCTTTTCTGTGGCCGGAGGGGCAAGACCAATTTTGCATCAGGCCAACAAGTAAGGCTGGGTGAGTGAGAAGATGCCCAAGCTGGGCTCCCCCACAGCGTCACCCAGTGTGGCCCAGACTGCCTTCCTCTGGCCTTCCCACAAGGCTACACAATAATCTTTAAACCGCCGCAGTCAGATTCGCTTTGACTTGCAAACAGATGCATTTGATACTCCTTAATTTGAGTATTTACAGTGGGCATGTTCCAAAGCATACGCTTATTTTCTCCTCTGTAATCATCCCCTCTCTTCACCCCTCTTTCCCCTAACACCTTCTGTGGGTTTCTTGTTTGCATGGAGCTTTCTCGTGGGCTCAGATGCATGGTCTATAACTTTCAAGCGAGGTGACAGGTCAGGACAAAAGCTACCACCCTCAGGGTGCCATGTCCACTCCCTCCCATCAGTAGCCAGAATGACACTTGCAGCTAATCAAACCATGCCACCCTCCTGCTAAAAGCGCTACTGTCACTCCCAGGTTCAAAGTCAAACTCTGTCCCTGGTTTACATGGGTTTGCATGGCTGGCTGCTGCCTTCCGCCCCACTCCTCCTTCCCTCCCTTGCAGGATATGCCCCAGTTCTAAATGGTTTCCTGCTCCTTCAACATAATCTCTGTTCCTCCACCCGGAACATTCCTCCTTCCCTCACTCTCACCTGGCGAACTCCTACTCCTCCACCAGTTGAGATGGCACCTTCACCACAGAGCACCCCAGACCGAGCTCAGCTGCATCCCTCTGGGGTTCGCCCATGGCCTGAGCCTGCGTAGTCTATTGAAATTGCCTTGCCTGCATCCTCCTGGGCAGTGAGCTCATCCAGGCAGGGCTCTGCTTCTCATCCTCAGAGCCATCCTTGAAGAGCGTGGTCACATCCAGTTCTGTTTAAAAGTCTCCATGGCCCCCCATGGGACTCAAACTAAAAGTCCTTGCTGGGACCTACAGGCCCTGGCTTGGTCTTCCTCGGCTCCTCTTCCCCCTGCAATCCACTCACACCAGCATCTCGAAGTTCCTCAAAGGCAAGTTCGTGCTTCTGCCCAGGGCATTTGCACTGCCTGTGTCCACTCTCCAGGACAGCCTTACAACAGATACCCCTTCTTTAGGTCTCAGCTCAGGTGTCTCCTTACCAGAGAGGAGTTGCCCCAGCTAGGCACCTATGTTCTTTCTCGGGCCTCTTTTCCCTCGGCAGAGAGTATGTTGAAATGTGTTTACTTGTCAATTGCCACCCCTACTAGAACCCAAGTTCCAGGTGAGCCAAGATGTTGCCTGTTTTATTCAAAGCTGCGTCCCTAGCACGGTGCCTGGCACATAGCAGGTGTTCCATAAGTGCTTGTTGAGTGCCCATACCAACAGCCCAGCATGCAAACTGGGCGGAAAGCATTCAGAAGGCCGCCGTGGCCTTTCCTGCTCAGAATAGTGCAGAATTCCAAAGAGCTGTCAACGTGCTCACAGAGCTATCTTTTATCCGCAAAATCACTTGCAAAGTCAGATGATGGAGACGGTGGAGACCACTTACTTTCAAATGACCATTTGTTCAGCTCACTGTACAAGTCTGCAACGTGGCCTCTCTCATCACAGAGCTCGTCCAGTCTGCCCATAAAATCAGCCAAGACCTTAGAAGAAAAGAACAACAAAAACGCATTTTAGTCTTTGAGGGAAAACAAAACAGAGCAGCAAGCTAACCTCAGGTCTTGTTACCTTGGACATTCCCTGGCCAGCCGGGTACCCCCTCTGCAGCAGCACCAGCTCTATATTTTCCTGGGGAGCCCACCTGACACCCTAGCAACCTTGTCCTGGGCTATTTCCTCAGCTTTTCCCGCTGCCACCCTGAAGCTAAGGTTTCAGCCTTTGATCTAAATTTAAAGAAAGGAAAACATCTCTTCTAATCAGAACGGGGACTAAGCCACAAAGGGGAAATCAGTCAAGTGTCGCTGCTGGCACAACATCTCAAAGGCCGTGATGCTATAACTACCCTGAGGTTTGCCATTTCCATATCTGGGCAAGCAAACATCTCTTTACTGATTGGTATTGTGTCAGGCGTGTTGAACTTGGAGCCAGGAGATCTGCAAATTCTGGACGCAGCTCCCTGGCTAAATAGCTCTGTGACCTTGGCCGAGTTATGTAAGGCCATTAGATGCCAGTTCCAAAATTGGGGCTTTGGATGAGTAAAGCCTCTCATTTCCTGAGGCTTCCATAGAGCCACGGGCTGCACCAGGGTGTTTTCTTAGCTGATCCTTACAATCTTCTGAGGGAGAAAGTCCTGTCATTTCTCCCATTTCCCATGTGAGAACACTGAGGCATAGAGAGAGGCGAAGGCACGGGCCCTTGGACACAGAACTGAGGAGCACCTGTGCTGGGCCTGGAACAAAGCCCCTGTGCGGACCCAGCCCACCGGGGAGACAAGGATGCTTAGTTTGCCCACAGAGTGCATCCAAATGTCCTCTGAATTAGCTGCCATAGCTGCCACAAAATATTTAGAGATTTCACACAAACATATTGATTTTCCACTACTTGTCGTCATAAGTAATTGCAGTGTCTGGCGACACCGTGTCAGCATTCCCACGGGGCAGTCATTTGCTGAAACTGGGACAGCTGTCACCTCCAGGAAGATCACGCGCTGTTTTGTTGGCTGAAACTCCCAAGGGCCTGCCCTATGAGTGCACCTTCATTACCTGGCCCCTGGAAGCCCTGAACTTGCCATCTTTTACCCGTACAATCCATGGGGGGGTACAAGCTCAGTTCAAAATGAACACCCTGAGTGAACACCCAGGAAGAAAAAGAGATTATTATGCTTAAATCCTCCCCTTCAGCCCCCTGTTGGCTAAATGATATGGTTCTAAATACCTTCGCCCGGCACAGACCTGCCTTCTGTGCAGCCTCATTTCAGAAAAGGCCCACCCTGAATGCACTGTTCTCTCAGCTCTCCGTGCCAGGCACAGGCCTCCATATTGGCAGCTGGCTATTCTTTCTGCCAGGATGCCTTTCTCTGCCTTCTCTGGCTTGTAGACTCCTACTCATCCTGCAAAACCCAGCTCAAATGTCACTACCAAGGAACATTATAAGCATCCTCTCCTTTAGTCATCACAGCAAATCTATACGGAGTGAGAATTGCCACTCCCATTTTACAGACTGGGAAGCTGAGTCTCAGGGAAGTTAAAGGGTACAGTCAGGTCACATGGCATGGACAGCAGATGCTCACATCTAAGACTGAGGGATACAAAAGTCTGTGCTTGTAACTACGCCCTTAATGCGACATTTTAAAGAAAGGGGAGAGAAAGGAAGAAGAAAGGTTTCAGTGGAGGGAGACGGGGAGAGGAATGAGGAGAATGTGAAGCCCCCCCAAATCATCCAAAGTGCCCGCTTTGCCCTCTGCACTTTGTAGCTGCGACTTAAGGCTCCACAAACACCCCTCCCTCCCCCAGAGACCCTGAAAAGCTGGCCCAGCCTGCACACCTCATTGATTTTGCCGTCCAGCTTCATAATCTCCACCGGTTTCATTAGTTTCTTCTGAAAGGCACTCCGGACCCTCTGCCAGTCTTCTCCTTCCCTGGGAGAGAAATCTGTCTAGAGCAAGTTGCAAAGACCAAAAGGAAGAGGCAGAGATTCCACCCTTCCACCCCCTGACATCCCCTGTCCCCCCATCAGATCAACACTGAGCATCAGGCCAGGACGTGCCCAGAGACTCAGCACCCGATGGAGCACTGGGCTGGTTTGATGATAGGAGAAGAAAGCTCCTTTCCTCCTGGCCAACCAAAGCGCCAGGAAGGTGACGTCCAGATAATTTGGGGTCCAGGCTGAGGAGGTGTCCCTCCTGGGGTTTGAGCTGGGAGGCCAGACACCTCAATTCCCAGCACTGAGAGCGGGCACCCCATCCTCACCCCAAAACCCAGGACTGTTTGAGGAAAGATCTTGTCTTCTTTCAACCCATTGATGTGGGCTACAGGTCACACTTACACAACACCTCAGATTTAGAATTTGTCCATTGCCTGCACCGAATGCCATACTGCCAGAGAGCCACTGGCTTTGGCAAAAGCCTGTTCCATCAGGCGCCCTTTCTCACTTCCCCGCAGCGGGTGACAGGGCCTGTGGTGCACCGAGCATCACTATGTGTTTTAATTCCAGTAATCATATCCCCCAAATAGAACTAGTAGACATTAAATTTGGGGGCAAAAAAAAATGTGCTAACTTGTTAAACGGTAACAAGGAAAAAGCACAGGAATCACATCACATTATAGCATTTATCTATCGAAAATGCAACCTGGACACCCCTCCTCACCCCACCTTTCACGCCCTTCCGGAGAAAAGGTCACTGTCAAAAGCGAAGGGGGTTCATTTCTGGCATTTGAGCTTCCAATAGGGGGTCTCAGAGAACTTCAAGGGATGGTTTAGTGTGTGCGCAGCGCGCTGACTTCAGAACCCCATCCCGCCGCAGCTTGTACAAGGCTTTTTGGCATTTGTCTGATAGGGGGCTGTGGCCCTGCCCTTTGCTGTCCCTCAACCCATGCAGGTCTCCGGTAGCGGCTTTCGTGTCCTCTGCGAGTCCAACTCCAGGGACCCTCTTCCCAGTTTCTCAGCGCCTTAGGCGCAGTCGCCAGCCCCATGGCCCCTGGTTGCCCCCCTCCCCTGTCCTTCCCCGCCTGCAGACTCACAGGATGAGCAGCCCGTAGCCCTCCTGGCGGTAGTCGCGATAGGCCTTCCAGGGTTTGATCTCCAGCCGCTGCGGGTATGCGCTCTCGGTGCGGTACAGCGCTTCCAGCAGGCCGGGCGAGCCCAGGTGCACCGAGTCAAAGGAGCCGAGCTTCATGCGGAAGATCTTGCCATACTTCTTGTGGAACTCCGCCTGCAGCGGCCACACAGCGTGAGGTCAGCGCGCATCCCTGACAGTTCCGAGCGCGTCTCCCCTCTCCCCGTCCCCACCCTCCCCCACCCCCCGCCCCCAGAGCCGGCGCCTGGGGCAGTGTTCCGAGCGCCGGCCAGGGAAGGGAGAGGGAGAGGGAAAGAGAGAGGGAGAGGAAATTGGGGTGCGGCGAGGCATTTACCAGAGTGTCGTGCTGCTTCTTGAGCCCCCCTCTCCAGAGGATCTCCAGCAGGCTCCCCAGCAGCGGCCAGTTGGTGGGGCCGGGCAGGGCGGCCGCGCTCTGCGCCTCGCCGCTTCCCAGCAGCGGGCAGAGGGGCACCTCGGGCGGCCGAGGGGGCGCGCACGCCGTGGATGTCACGGGTCTGGGGGGCTGCCCGGGGCTGCGCAGCTGCTGCAGGAAGGCGACCAGGGAGCGGCTCTTCCTGATGGGGGAGCTCATAGCCGCAGGGAGGCCAGGCGCGGGGGACCACGTGGGGACCAAGGAGGGCGAGGCTGGCAAAGGGGCGCCCGCTGGGTTGGGGAGCGCAGCGACTCTGGGAAAGAGGCAAGGAGGACCAGCAGAGGTGATGGAGGGGGCCGAAGAGGGACGGAAAGAACTGGGATGAGGATGCTTTGGCTGCGCTGTGCTGCAGCCTCAGGGCGCAGGTGACCGCGAGCGGCCGCAGAGGCTGGAGGAGAGCGGTCAGGGCCGGTGCCTCTTGGAAGGCGAAGGGAAGGGATGTTGGTCTGCCCGTGGGTCTGCGAGTCTGAATTCCGGCTCTGGAGACGCGAAGTGGAGATGTCAGGGAGGGTAGCAGAGATATCTCGGGCTCTGGGTTTTTCCTCTCCACGTTCCATGTCCGGGGACCAGTATTTATGGAGACGGGGCAGGCCCGGGTGGCCAATGAGCCGCGGAGTGGGGCGGAGTGGGCCCTGGCTTGCCCGGCCCGGAGGAGGGCGCGCCTGGGAGGCTAGAATAGGATGGAGTCAGCGAGGTGAGCGAGGGCGCCCGTGCCTCGGTGACCGGTGCTCCGCTCTCAGGGCGGGCGGAGCGCGGACTCCACCCCGGAGATAACCCCCAGGCGCGCTGAGTTCCCGGGAGGTCACGGGGTGTGCGCCGGGCGCCTCCCGCCCTCCCAGGCGGCGGCGGACTGGCAGTGGCAGCCGCAGCCTGGGCTTGCACAACCCCGCTGCCAGGCGGGCGGCGGGGTCTCCGAGTGCAGCCCGGGAAGCCGCCTGCGCCTGTGGGGGCCAGGAGCCCGCGCGCCTCCGGGGCGCAGGTTCATGCCACCCTGGACGGCATCTCTCCGCGGGGAAATCGGGAGGCTCAGCATCTAAGGAGGGGATTCCACCTCTGGGTCTAGGGCAGCGAGGGCCAGTGGAGTTTGCAGAAGCTCCCCCTGCTGTTTCACTTTGGCTGCCATGAAGATTTCAGGGATCCATGCGAATCAATCGCCTGCGCCTGGGAAAGGCATGGCAACTGAGGCTGGTCTACCTCTTTCACGTTTCCCCCACCCTTTTGGGGGCGCCCTGGGCAAAGCATAGGCACCTGCAGCCCCACATCACAGACCCCGCCAGGCCATCCCCGCCTTTTCCTGCAAAGCGCCTCCCTCCTCCTCCCTCCCCCCACACACACATTTCCTAGTCATCCTAGTCCTAGTCCTAGGCATAGGACTTCCCTTACAAATTCGGGAAGAGAAGTGGAGATTTTTGTGGATTATGTGAAAGCAGCTCCGCAAGATCTGCCGCCCCAGAGGAGCCTCTTGCCTGGGTCCTGACCCCGTGCTGGCCAGTCCTCCCCTGGCAAGTTTATGGTCAGCTTTCATTTTGTTACTTGAAATCTTTGCAGTCCGACTTGAGCTTGAACACTGTCATTTCAGATTTGTCCTGAGAGGTTAATGACTGTTAATGTGAATAAAAATAATAGCTTATATTATGTACAATGCACTTCAGATATGTGCTATATCTACTTATATAGATATCTATACTAATAAAAGGGTAATGTGCTAATTAGACTGGGAGACCTTCCGGACGTTCTTCTGGACAAAGCCATGGTGGCAAGACTGAGATAGAGGTGGTTAGGGGCCTAGAGGGGAGGGCAGTTGTGGGTGATCAGGCTGGTTTGGGGAGGGAATTGGGGGTGATCAGGCCAGTGGGGGGAGCAGTTGGGAGTGAGCAGGCCAGCAGTCACTTCCCCACATGCACAAATTTTGTGCACTGGGCCTCTAGTAACAAACTGAAAGCTGACCAAATTCATGGGGGGGTGGGGGAGGCGCTGGGGCTGGGGTTGTCCCTCAGCCCAGCCTGCACCCTCTCTAATTTGGGACCCCTAGAGAGATGTCCAATACCTGTTTAGGCTGGATCCTGGTGGGTTCAGGTCTAGGACTGCTGGTTCCCAACTGCTTGCCTGCCTGCCTTTCTGATTGCCCCTAACTGCTTCTGCCTGCCAGCCTAATCACCCCTAACCACTCCCATGCCAGCCTGATTGATGTCTAACTGCTCCCCTGCCAGCCCATTTGCCCCCAACTTCCCTCCTCTGCCGGCCTGATCACCCCTAACTGCCCTCCCCTGCAGGGTTGATTGCCTTCAACAGCCCTCCCTTGCAGGCTTGGTGCCTCCCAACTGCCCTCCTCTGCTGGCCATCTTGTGATAGCCATCTTGTGTCCACATGGGGGCAAGATCTTTGACCACATGGAGGCAGCCATCTTGTGTATTGGAGTAATTATCAATCTGCATATTACTCTTTTATTAGATAAGATAGATGCCTGGAGCACGGGTGGGGACCAGCTGGTTTTTCCTGAAGGGTGTCCCGGATCAGGGTGGGGGTTTCCTTGGGGGCATGGGGTGGTCTGGGTGAGGGGCCTGTGGTGGTTTGCAGGCTGGCCACACCCCCCAGAGACCCAAGCGGAGGCCCTGATATCAGGAATTTATTTATCTTCTACAATTGAAACTTTGTAGCCTGGAGCAGAGCCAAGCCTCCTACTTGCTCCCTGGTGGCAGACATTTCTGTTTGGATTTGTTTACCTTCTATAATTGAAACTTTGTAGCCTTGAGTGGAGGCTTAGGCCAGCAAGGGCAGGCAGAAAGCTTGGCTTCTTCCGTTGCTGGGGAAATGCCTCCCTCCTGCTCTCTGTGGCTGTAGCCATCTTGGTTGGGTTTATTTGCATACTCGCTCTAATTGGCTAGTGAGTGTGGATTGTGGGCATGGCTTGTGGAGAGGAGTGATGGTTAATTTGTATATTACTCTTTTATTCGGTAGGATACACACACACACACACACACACACACACACAAACTATATAGTACATATTATATAGCATATGCTAAAGATATACTACAAAAGTGGGCAAAACTAGGTTTATGGTTCTGAGTATGTGAAACAAAGTTTAATCTAGTATTATTATTTATTAATTACTATATTACTAGAAGCCTGGTGCATGAAAATTCATGCACCTGGCATGGGGGGGGGGGGGTCCCTCAGCCGGGCCTGTCCCCCTCACAGTCCAGGAGCCCTCACAGGATGCCCTACGGATGGCTTAGGCCTGCTCCCCACACAGTCTGGCCTCCCTCTATATAGATACTTTCTGGAGGCAGCACAGACTCCTTCCTTATTTCTTTCCTCTATGGTTGGAGAACAGGGGACTGAAAGATGGAGACAGAGCTGTGGCCTGGCCTGAAGCTTTTGTAAGCAGCAGAAAGAGGGAGAGAGCTGGGGAAAGTCTATTCCCATTTCCTTCCATGTCCTCCCTTCAGGCCCCTCCCTCTGTAGATGCTCAGGCCTCGGACCCACTGGAGACAACAGTTGTGTTCAGCCGTCTGACTTATCAGCTGAACGTACAGCCGCCTCTCATTCCAAGCGGGGCTGTTTTCAAGGGACTAAAGTGCTGGGAATTCACACCTCCTGGCCTTTCCTCTCTCGGGGTCCTCCTTGGGTCTGTTGCAAAGTTCACGGGGACAGAAGCAGCTCTGCCCTGGGGGCCGGGGTGGGGGGACGTATGCAGGCAGCATCTCGTCCCAGGTCAGGGTCACAGCAGACAGCATCACGTCCCTGGCTAGGGATGCAGGCAGGAAGCTTCCCCTCAGTGCGGGGGGGGGGGGGGGGGGGGCGACACCAATGTGGTTGGAGAACAGGGTCTAAAAAGGGTCTAAAAGTTGGTGACAGAACTGGGCATGCCTCCACTGAGGGCGGAAGTCCCCACCCCTGTCCCTGCCCCCCCCCCCCAGCCTCTTGCGTGCAAAACCCATTGACTGGTCATGACTCGGACACTGTATGGACAAATTAGCATATTACCTCTTTATTATAGAGGATTTTCTAACTGTAAACAACTGTAAACTTAGTTTTGCCCACCCCCTGTATATGCAATATACACTCTATCTTGTATAACATATGTTACCTAGTATACCAATGAAAGCTTTCTAGGGCGTATGATAAACCAGCCACGAAGCTAGACATTTTACTTAAATTCTCCCATTTAGTTCAGCCCAACAACAACAAAATAAATGAATAAATAAAATGAAGCTTGGAGAATTAAGTAATTTGCCTGACGTCACAGACCTTACTTCTGGCTCGTGTGGGATTCAGACCCAGATTTTAAATTCTAATCTAGGCCCTTAATATACACCTCCATATACACCGTGCTTTATCACATCACCTTTCCTTACACCAGGACTATCTCTGAATACTGGAAGTATTCCTTAAATGGGACTATCTCCCAGAGGTGAACGGGGTCAGGCTGGGTGGGGCTGAGATGGAAATGTTGTTTTATGTGCTGATAATAGTGAAAGAGAAGAACCCTAACTGAAGATCCACTTAGCTCACCACTGCATGCCTTGCTTCTGGGGTGGGGGAGGGTTGGGAGTATTGTTGGCACATAATACATGCTCAGTAAAGCATCCCTCCTCTCGCATGCCTGCTGCTGAGTCATGACCCCTCTTTCTTCTTCTTGTCAGGTATGCTCAGGAGGAAAGGCAAACATTTTCATACTTGCTGGTTTTTCATCTGAGCCGTGACTATGCTGCTTTACAAACGCCAAGCAGATGCTTGGAAGGGCGGACAATCACTAGTCTCAATAGCACGAACATCCCCGCCTCAGGGAAATTGGTTTCGCATGTCCAGTGGAGGAAGTCCCCTGATTTTATCCTGGGTCGCGGAGGGCAGCAAACCCGGCTCTTTGAAGCTTCGTGGACATGGACACACACCCATCCTTGAGGAGGTACAGCTAAATTCAAGATGTGGGGCACAGACCCAGCCCTCTCTATCCCTCCCTGGGTGGCTTCGCTGGCTCTCGACTTAGCCTCTGTGAGTCATCGCCTGCGATCCTGCCGGGAATCACTGATGAGAGATCCCAAGCGTCTCAGAAGTGCCCGCCGAATTACTGAGACCCAGCCCCAGCCCTGCTTGGTTCTGGGAAATCTTACCAAGACCTGAGGGGATAATTATACTCCAGCCCGCACCCCAAG